GAATTTTGTCTTGGCTTGGATTGATTGAGGATTGTGGATTTTGGGATTGTTTTACTTTTTTTTTTAAATATCTTGGTTGGTGTAAGAAGAAAGAGGGAAAAAAGAAAAGAAAAGAAAAGATCTATAATGGCTTTTTCTTTTGAGGAACTGAGGGAAGAATATGAGCAAACAAAAGCAGCCGGTAAAGATGGTATGGAAAAAGCCTTCCTATTTTTAGAAATGGCGCTGGTTAACTATCAACAAACAATACAACAGATGGAGGCAGAAGAACAACAAGAAGAAGAAGATGAAGACGCCATCTTTAATGAATTCCAAAATTTAACTAAGAAAGAAGGAAGGAAGAAAGCGAGGAAAATGAAGGACTTAAGATCTAAAAAAACATTTAAGAAAGAGAAAAATAAGATGCAAAATAAATATAATGATAGTAAACAAAAGAAAAAGGGAACACAACAGAGAAGGGATGCCAGCAAGGCAGAGGCTAGAAGAAGGCGGGGTAGGAAGATTTGGTGGGGGAAGAAAGAAAGGGGAAAGGCGGAGAAAAGCCACAAAGTTTTGAAATTAGATGGGAAAAGAGGAATTTTTTTTAGGGACAAAGGGTAAAGTACAATTTCCTTAAAAAAGATTTTGCAAGGTACATAAGATGGTATTGTAACATCTGTATTAGAAATAGAAAATTAGAATGGCTTAAGAGTTAGTAAGAAATTAAAATGTTGAAATGTTTAACAATGATTGATTTTAAAATGTAATAAAATATTAAAGGGAAAGGCAATGGGAATGTTATAAGATTTAATATTTAGATTTATTATTTAACTATGTATTTAATCATTTTGGATTTATCACTTTGTTTTTATTGTTATTAAAAGAAAAAAATTAGTAGATAGAATGTACCAAGCAGAATCAGATTGGGTATTAGGTGTTATTTTAAATGTTAATCTAATTAATTTAGGGGGAGGATAAAAAGGCATCATACTCTGATTAGTGATTTCAGGAGAAATTCTTTTTTTTTTTATAAGGAATGAGATAGAGGGATAATAAAGAATGGGCAAAAGATACAAATATAATGATTTAAATTAAGATGGATTAAATAAGATAGAATTATGAAGAGTGAAATGTGTGGAGAAGTTTATATAGAAGATATAGAATGGTAAATAAAATAGGTAATGATATGTAAGATGAGCATGAATATAATTGAAGCCCATATAAAGAGAGGTACCTGGGGCCAAGTTACTTTCCTAAAAGATTTTTTATATGTTTGTTTGTTGTGTGTTTATGTTTTTGAGAGTATTAATAAAACCTTGTAGAAATACAGAATGAGAATAATGGTAATCAAGTCAGAAAGAAATAGATGAAATAATAATAGTGAAATTGAATAAGAGTAAAGAGAAGTAAAGAGAAATTGGATAAGAGGTATTTTTATGCTCATATGGAAATGGCTTAAAATAGAATTGTATTGTATAAAATAAAGTTTTATCTGACTTGTAAAATTTATAATGGAAAAAGGTTCAAATATGTAATGGTTGATGATGATTTGTTTGTCTTTGAAATTAATAAAATTTGCTTAAAAAAGGGGGGGGAGTTTGAACTGTCATGCCCTTGGTAGAGTCAGACTCTGAGGGACAGGAGGGACAGCTGACAGGGAGTGGAGGGGTGGCTCCGGAGGTTGTGGAGGAGGCTGGGGAAGGGCAGAGGCCGGCTGGGCAGTCAGAGGTAGAACTAGGCCCACCCCCTCTTCATCCTAGGACATGCAGGGAGGAACGGAGAAAGAAACAACTTGGCTTATGAGAGAGGAAGAGGCCATGATCCTCCTCATTGTTTGCAGCTGGGGAGAATAGTATATAAGAGAGACAGTTAAAACACAGCATTGACAGAAGCAAAGCGTGTGTTATTTTGGGCTGAAGTTATCTTGGTTGACGTCCTTCCAACAGACTGTGCCTTGTTATCTCTTCAATTTGGTAAGTATTTATCCTGGTCCATTGTGGAAATTCCTTCATTGTAGTTTGTTTTAGTTTTTTATTTCACCTCTATCTGCTCATTAAGTTCAGACTGTATTGCTTTCTTTTAAAGACTATTTTTGAATACGTTTTATCTCCAACTGAGAATTATTGAACAGTGAAGCCAAGTTGGAGGCATTAAAGGACATTTATTTATGTTTTGGATTTTGTTAATTTGTGTTACACTCTGGGTCATCACAATGGAACAGAATGGAACAGAACAGAACACAACAGAATAGAGCTGGAAGGGAGGTCTTCTACTCCAGCCCCTGCTCAAGCAGGAGAACCTATACAATTTCAGACAAGTGACTGTCCAGTCTCTTCTTAAAACCCTCCGGTGATGGCGTGGCCATGATTTCTGGAGTCCAGCTGTTTCACTGGTTAATTGTCCTCATTGTAGGGAAGTTTCTTCTTAATTCCAGGTTGCTTCTCTCCTTGATCAGTTTCCAAACATTATTTCTTGTTCTGCCCTCTGGTGCTTTGAAGAATAAATTGACCCCTTCTTCTTTGTGGCAGCCCCTCATATACTGGAATACTGTTGTGACTTCCGGTTTGAGCTTCTTTCGTGATGGACCGAAATCCACGATCGTGTGCAGTTTCAATCCGTGCTTGCCGCCGGAGCGCCCTGAGCTGGCTGGATTCGGGGCTAAGCCATCCCAAAGAGGTGGGGAAGAGGGGGGAGACCACCAGCAGGGTCAAGGAGAGCCACATTTCTCCTCCTCAGCTGGCCATTACTCCCTTTCCCGAAGGCGGTTGCAGCGGTGGTCAGAAATGGCCACCTCAAATAAGAACTCAACCAGAAAAGAATGTGCAGGAGGAAGACAAGAAGAGAAAGTTTTGGTTGACCGGGTTAAACTGAAAAAGCAACAACATAAGGTACCCTGGAATTTGAACTATAAAAAATAACATTGTTCCCAAAGAAGACTTTGAAGCAACGAATAAGAGAGGGAAGGGAAAGGATTTGGCTTTTCTTTTTCTTCCCTTCCTTATACTGACAGCTAAGAGATTTAAGTAAGAAATTGACAAAAATCCACTTTGACATCAATAGGCATTTAAGCTGAAAATAAAATGTCAAAGGGATAATAAAGACTTTTGGATATTCAAAAACCTTTAAAAGCAGGAAAGGAGAGAAAAGAAAAGAATAAAAGGGCAGGATCTGGAAAAATGGAGGAGTCTGCCTGGAATCTTGACAAGATTCCTAAAAGATACATTCTAACTGAAACTTTGTAACAAAATAATAGAACCCCAGGAAGAGAGAGTAGAAAAAAGAAGCAAGAAGAAATAGATTTGGATTATTTGGATTACTTGGTGATTTTTGGATTTTTGGCTATTGCATTTAAATGACTAAAATCAATCGGATGGTTGTTTAAAAGTGTTTAAAATGGCATCACTTTTAGAAGAACTGAAAATGGAACTTAAAAAACAGAAAGAAGATGCACAAGAAGGAAGAGGTTCTTTTGGCTTCATATTTCAATTTTTAGAAATGGAGATCTGGAACTATGAGAAACAAAAAGAAACACTTGTAGAACAAGAAAGTTGGGACAAAGAAGAAGCCATCTTTAATGATCAAGTAATTTTATGTGGGGAAAAAAGGAAAGGGGGGAAAGAGAGTGAAAAGTTTAAGATTTGAAAAAACAACCAAAAAAAAGAATAGTTTGAAAAATAATTACAATATTAGGAAGCAACAGAAGAGAGGATCACAGAAGAGAGAATTAGAAGTAGAGAGAGAAGGGGGCAAAAGGGGGAGGGGGAAGAAGAGGGGGAAGAAGGAAAGGAAAAGAAGTTATAAAAGACAGAAACAAGATATAGAGAAACAGGGAAAATGTATAAGGATTGAAAGCATAAGCCTATTTAGAGATAATGGGTGAAAAATTAATTGAAAAAGGGATTCTGCAAAGGTACATAAGATAGTATTGTTATATTAGAAATAGAAATAATTTTAGAAAATATGAAACAATGTATGACTAAAATGATGATAAAATACTTATTGTAACACAGTGGAATGTTTGTTAATAAATAAATGAAATAAAGTGAATGAGAGAATGAAATTAGGAAAGGATGGGAACATTTTAATTATTATTAATGATTTATAAAAATATAAGTGAAGATAAATATGGAAAAAAAGAATTAATTATGGAAAGTGTATAAGTGTTCACAAGGAAGTATGATATTCAATTGAAAAGAAATGTTAAAGATGTTAAGATTCTAACTAATATTAATGATAGAATTGAATTGAATGGAATGAGTGTTTTATTTACTATTGTTATAGATAGATAGATGATAGATAGATAGATAGATAGATAGATAGATAGATAGATAGATATTTAAGAACATAGTGTGTATTTTAAGAATGTACCAAGCAGAATTTGATTGGAAGTTATGTACTATATTGAATGTTATAATTTTAAAGGCATAAATTAAAGTTTAAATAAGAGTTGAATTGATAAAATTAAAAGATATAAAGGTGTCATACTCCAATTAGTAACTACAGGGGAAAAGTTGTTTAATGAGAAAAGATAATATGAAATTGAAACAGGACAGACAAAAGTATAAATATAATGATTGGAAAGACATTGAAACTTAGAAAAAGATATATAATTGAATTTAGATATGAGATAATTAAAAATAAAGTTGAGAAAACCAAGGGAGGGGAAAAATTATGGAGAAAATGTTAAAATAGTAATAAGATATGGAATAGAACACAAAGATGAATATGAAATTGAGTTTGTGTCTGTATGAAGAAGTGATAATCCGGGATCATGCTATTCTCAAAAAAGATGTTTTATTTGTATTATGTTTTTGTGAAAACCCAAATAAAATTTATATATACAATTTATACTGCTATCATGTCTCCCCTAATACTTCTTTTCTTTAAATTAGCCAGACCCAAAATCTGCAACTGTTCTTCATATGGTTTAATCTCCAAGTCTCCAGTTCAGCTAAGGTTTGTTTGGTTCCATCATTTTTAACCTATAAATGAAACTAATTTGCTTTTTCATTTCTTTTCAGCCCACTCAACAATGCATCAAATAATACAAACCGCGTACAGCTGGTTTTGGTGGGAGAACATCTGGATGCCTGCCAACTGCACGTGGGCAGATTTAGAAGATCATAATGGATACATCTTTCCCAAACCACGACAATTATTTGCCACAATCCCATATGCCTTTGTGATGCTGGTTATCAGGTTCTTTGTTGAAAGGTAAAAATTCTCTCTTTTTTTAAAATCTTTTTTTTTTCCTGCTCCAAAAATTCATTTTTTCTCCCATGTTTGATTTTTAATCCTATGAAATATCTTAAGGGCTTCCTTTCCACTATTTATTTTTGTAGCTTTTAGTGAGATGTTTTCAGCTTTAAAATGATAAGTCTTGAGGTATCTTGATTCGGTTTCAAAAACTGATAATGCAGATTATGGAAATGCAAATTACGTGAAGGCGTAATCCTTTGTTCACTTGTCCGGTTGCCCTAACTTGCAGTCTTATTTATTTATTTATTTACTTACTTACTTATTAATTTCCATTTGTATAGCTACCCATCTTGAACCAATGAAGCTTCATCTGTTTGCTTTGTTTAAAAGTGAAGGTAAAGTAAAAAAGATGTGTAGAGATAAATTGTAAGGGAAAAAGAGAAGCAGAATTAACACATCCACAGGTTGTCAAATACGAAAAATGGGGACTATAAATTCCAGTTCCAGTTAAGGTGACTTAGATTTAGATGCCTCTACACAAGAATCTGATAAACTAATAGTCAGCACTAAATTGACACCAGGTAAGGGTCAACAGAATTCAAGAGGGGTTGGATTTTGAATGCTTATAGCAATGTAATGATTCTAGACTGATTCCTCTCTTGACCCTTCTCCAGGCTCCAGGCTCAGGTACAGAAAAAGAAAGGGTAGAATTAAATGGAGTCTACTCTCTGACTAAAGTAGCATTCTTATGTTAACCACATCATTTAAGAGATAATTTGAGTGAAGCTGAAAACCACGTCCCACTGTTCCATGCAGCTGTGGTATAACTTTCTTAATTACTAGAGGAAAATAGGTTGGATCTGCCATCTCAGAGGTGTGTTAGATGGAAATTCTTTGTCTTAAACCCTTTGGAAGATGCCCAGTTTAAGGAAGACTCACTTGTCCTGGAACATGGACTAACTAAGCTGTGCAAATGAAGAAATGATGCAACACAATGCTGAATGGGCACTCCACAAATTCCCCATGAGACAAAGCAAATGGGTTGCAACCATGAATGCAGAAAACCTGTCCTTCAGCCCAAGCAGGGAGCACTTCATTTTCCTGTGCTATCGTATAGCTAGCCTCATATTGAAATCATTACATTTACAAGCTTCCTTTTTTAATTGTCTTTCAGATATATTGCTCTTCCTCTGGCTGACTACTTGGGCATGAAGGATACAAGGCGGATCAAACCACTGGATAATCCCACCCTTGAAAATTTTTTCCAAGAATGCGCAAAAAAGCCATCTCAGGTGAGGATTCTTTCTTTAAAAAAACAAAAAAAATGTTTCCTGGGTGACTTTCATGCCCCAAATCACTGCCTGGTTCTACCTTTCTATCCAGCCAAGGAATGGTAGACAAATTAACAAATTAGCAGAGTTGGAAGGGAATTGGTAGGTCATCTAGTCTAACCCCACTTGCCCAAGCAGGAGACACTACATCATTCCTGACAGATGGCAGTCCAGTCTCTTCTTGAAAGCCTCCAGTGATGAAGCTCCCACAACTTCTGAAGGCAACTTGTTCCATGGGTTGATTGCTCTCACTGTCAGGAAATTCTTCATTTCCAGGTTGAATCTCTCCTTGATCAGTTTCCATCCATTATTCCTTGTCTGGCCTACAGGCACTTTAGAAAATAGCTTGACCCCCTTCCTCCTCTCTGTGGCATCCCCTCAAATATTGGAACTCTGCTATCATGTCCCCCCTGGTCCATCTCTTCACTAGACTAGCCATGCCCAATTTCTGCAAGTGTTCATCGTATGATTTAGCCTCCAGCCGCCCATAAAAGGCTTGGTTGCTCTTCTCTGCACTCTTTCTAGAGTCTCAACATCTTTTTTATAGTGTGGTGATCAAAACTGGATGCAGTATTCTAGGTGTGGCCTTACTAAAACCTGCCAACCTTCAGAGAATGAAGAACTCCAGGCAATTATAGCTCACAGAGAGAGGTGCCAGAATTATAGTCCGATAACACCTGGAATTTCCCCAATCTTGTTAGCCCTCTGTATGCTTCTTACAAGTCTCAACTCTGTGTTTCTCAACCTTGAGGAACTTTAAGGTGTGTGGACTTCAGAATTCCCCAACCCTCCACGCTGCTGAAGTCCACACATGCTGTCCATCCCATTGTAAAGTCGCCAAGGTTGAGAAACACTGCTTCAACTGATGGAGTTGGCCAATTGTAAATCACTTTGCTGCCACCTCTTGAAACAGGTAGTCCTCAATGTACGACCACATTTAAGGGCAACATTTCTGGGACTAGGTGAAAGCGTTTTGCCCCATTTTATGACTTTTCTTGCCACAGTGGTTAAGTGAACAACTGCAGTTGTTGAGTTAGTAACGTGGTTGTTCAATCAATCTGGCTTCCCCATTGAGTTTGCTTGTTGGAAGGTCGACAAAGAGGATCACATGACCCCAGGACACTGCAATGGTCAAAAATGTGATTGTGATGACCCGGAGTGTAACACAAACGTAACAAAATCCAAAACGTAAATAAATGTCCTTTATAGGGGAGGATGTGGATATCTCATTTAGGTGATCTTAGAGTAGAGTAGAGTAGAGTAGAGTAGAGTAGAGTAGAGTAGAGTAGAGTAGAACAGAATATAGAATAGAAATCTCCAAGTGAAGAATAGAATAGAATAGAAAATAGAATAGAATAGTATAGAATAGACTATAGAATAGAATAGAAAATAGAATAGAATAGAATAGAAAAGGGAATAGAATAGAACAGAACAGAACAGAACAGAACAGAATAGAATAGAATAGAATAGAATAGAATAACAGAGTTGGAAGGGACCTTGGAGGTCTACTAGTCCAACCCCCTGCTTATAGGACCATTTCAGACAAATGGTTATCCAATCTCTTCTTAAAAACTTCCAGTGTTGGAGGATCCACAACTTCTGAAGGCAAGTTGTTCCACTGGCTAATTGTTCTAATCTTGATCATTCTGTTTTCTTAAGCACAAGCAAACAAAATTGCTTCACAACTAGGCAACTGCTATTGGAAGATTCTTATATTCTGAACTTTTTAATTGTGATGGAGTTTCAACACAACGGGTGGCATGGGAAGGGTGTGGGTAAATCAGGTGTGCTTAGCGTAGTGTTGAATTCCCAACCCTTTGCAGCACAATGAGATGCATCCCGATGCATTTTTCATTGATTGAGAATTATGTCATAAGTGCTGCAGATAATGACAGTAGAAGTCGTAAGTAGGTGGAGCAGCTTTGAAGAGCAGAAGAACCAGAAAAGTGATGCTCTTCACAGAAAAACAGAATAACAGAGTTGGAAGGGACCTTGGCGGTCTTCTAGTCCAGTGGTCACCAACTGGTGGGCCAGGGACCACTGGTGGTCCATGAGAAAATTTTGGTGGTCCGCAGAGAAATGTCCCCCCCCCAAAGCACCCCCCAAAGCAATTAATCCAGGCTGCAGAGGAATACAAGGCTGCGCCGCCCACATGGCCTGCCCACCCACTGGCCCCCACCCTTCATCTGAGTGCAAACCTTACCTTGAGTAGAGCCACGCGAGCTGGAACTGGAAGGTAAGACCAACAGTGGGGGAGGGAAATCCACCTCAGGATGGCTTGCTGATGTTGGTGGGAAAGTTGGTCCCGTATTCCAGAGCTGCAATAGTCACAGGACTGGCCCCTTGGTCATCCTGGAGCAGCTCCTCCAGTCCATGGCAGGCCGGTGCACCCAGGTGGAGGAGCAGCTGCTCCGGGATGACCAGAGGGCCACTCCTGTGACTACTGCAACTCTGGAATATGGGGCCGACTTTCCCACCAACATCAGCAAGATACCGTCAGTCAAAATTCATATTAGTGGTCCACGGGATTTAAAATTATGAGTTTGGTAGTCTCTGAGGTCCAAAAGGTTGGCGACCCCTGTTCTAGTCCAACCCTCTGCTCAAGCAGCAAACCCTCTGCTATTTCAAACAAACAGTTGTCCGATCTCTTTTTAAAAACTTCCAGCACTGGAGCATTTACAATTTCAGGAGGCAAGTCATTCCACTGATTAATTGTTCTGACTGTCAGGAAATTCCTCTTTAGTTCTAAGTTGCTTCTCTCCTTGATTAGTTTCCATCCGTTGCTTCTTCTCCTGCCCTCAGGTGCTTTGGAGAATAGTTTGACCCTTCTTCTTTGTGGCAGCTCCTCAAATATTGCAACATGGCTATCATGTCTCCTCTAGTCTTTTTTGCTGCCCTTCTCTGTACATAGTCTCTGTTATATTCTGGGCATGGGTGCAAGGAAGTGAGACGAGTCAGAGAATTAGTGAACTTCAACTCTTTATTAAGGATTAGGAACAGAGCGTAAAAAACCCTCGGGCAACAGCAGCTCTTTTATAGAGCTGGCTGCTGACCCGTTAACCAATGACCTGTGTCCAAATGCTTAACTTTTGCCCAATGGGAGATGTTCAACTAATAGCCAATCAGGCTGCTCCGTACGGACCAATCCCTGTTCGCTATCCATGGGCCAATCAAAGGTGCAGGATTACAAGCCTGCTTATCATGTGGTTGATAAGTTTTATTAAATAGTTTTTATTAGTTCATAACAGTCTCCAGTCTATGAAAGCTTAAACCATTAGCATTTCTTGGTTTGTATATCATGCTTTTTAAAATGACTTTTTGTGTCATGACATTTTTTTTAATCTAGCAAATACATTTACTCTCTGATGGTCAGCAACCTCCTCTTCCTTCCTCTCCCTCTTCTCATTTTCCTTCCCCTCCTCCTCCTCCTCCTGTCACCACATTAGAAAAAGATGTTGAGATTCTAGAAAGAATGCAGAGAAGAGCAACCAAGCTTTTTATGGGCGGCTGGAGGCTAAAACATACAATGAACAGTTGCAGGAACTGGGCCTGGCTAGTCTAGTGAAGAGAAGGACCAGGGAGACAGGATAGCAGTCTTCCAATATTTGAGGGGCTGCCACAGAGAGGAGGAAGGGGGTCAAGCTATTTTCTAAAGCACCTGTAGGCCAGACAAGGAATAATGGATGGAAACTGAAGGAGAGATTCACCCTGGAAATAAGGAGAAACTTTCTGACAGTGAGGACAATCGACCCATGGAACAGAAGTTGCCTTCGGAAGTTGTGGGAGCTTCATTCCTGGAAGCTTTCAAGAAGAGACTGGACTGCCCTCTGTCAGAAATAGTGTAGGGTCTCTGCTTGGGCAGGGGGTTGGACTAGATGACCTTCAAGGTCCCTTGCAACTCTTGTTATTCTACTCTACTCTACTCTACTCCACTCCACTCCACTTTCTCTTCTTCCTCCTCTTTTCCCTCCTCCTTCTCTTCTTCTTCCTCCTCCTCCTCTTCCTCCTCCCTCATCTCTTCTTCCTCCCTGGCATAGAAGCTGCAGTTCTTGTTTTGATTCCTTGACTTCCAGCATGTGCCTCACTGATTTCTCCCTCCTTCTTTCTCCAACCTTGCAGTCAGAAACACGTAGACTAGCTAAAAAGTGTAACTGGACCGTGCACCAGGTGGAAAAATGGTTCAGGCGAAGACGCAACCTAGAAATCCCAACTCTGCATAAAAAATTCAAGGAAGCTTGGTAAGAAAAGAGCCCACTCTCCTCTATTCTCTGTTTCTTAAAAAAAGAAAAATCTTCTCAGGTAGTAAAATAGCCCGAAATTTGACATTTAATGGCATTCTGGGTATTGTATAACCAGATATTTCCTTTGTTGTCAGTCAACATAAATTCATAATATTATCGAACTACCTATCTCAGGTCCTTGGGATGGACTTGATAAGTGATTAAAAAGGTCAAATCCAGTCCAAACATCTGGCTAATTCTGCAACCAACAACAACAATAATAATATAACTAGTATTATCCTGTTATCAGTGAGCCTTGTCTTGCAAATTCTCCATTGATTATATTACATTACAGCTTCGATTGCAAAATTGCAGTTGCCATCTTGACTTTTTTAACCCTCTCCAGCCAACCTTGTATGCACTGAAGCTGTAGTTTGAGTTTCCAAAGGCAAATCTGAATATGAGGATTAGAAATTAATTTATTCTTCTGTTCTAATTTTTTCCATATCCTGTGCTTCCTCTTGAGCATGTGTGTGTGTGTGTGTGTGTGTGTGTGTGCTTGTGTGTGTGTGTGTGTGTCTGTGTAGATAATACCAATTTATTCCTGTAATGGAGTGACAATATAAAGCTTGGTGCTCTCTGAGCTTGGTTGTTTTCTTGCAAGCATTTCATCCCCCAAACTAGGTAACATCATCAATGCTAGTTAGTTAGCCAGACTAGCTAGCACTGATGGTGCTATTTAGTTTGGGAAAAGAAATATTTGCAAGAAAACAACTAAGCTCAGAGAGCACCACAAATCCCACATTTCAACCCTACCTACAAATAGTTTCTGTCAGTACTCTGGCTTATTTTGAACTTAGACTTCAAAGTGGCTCAAATCACTGTAGTTAATAGAAATAATAACGATGAGGCAAATTAATGCAGGAAGAGAGAGAGATGGTTTAAACAGGCAGTACTGTGTTCCTAGCTAAGAGGATTAGACAAGTCTGTTCTATCTTACCATCTTCTTCTGTGTCCATGTGAACTCCTTGGTCCTAACATTCATTTTATTTCTTTGCAGTTGGCGATGTTTATTCTACAGTACTTCATTTATTGCTGGAATTATATTTCTCTGTGATGTAAGTTAAATATGGGGCTGGGAGGGAGGATTCCAGTGGTAACATGGTCTAATCTGAGGTTGTTTTTTTAACAGCAGCTTCCCATGAGTTGTTAAACTTGGGTTAGTATAAAGACAAATGCAATCTCCCCCAAAGGAGGATAAGCTAAACTTCTACTGTTTTTTTTATTTTTATTGTTGCTTTGTTGTTGTTGTTGTTTTGTTGTTGTTATTATTATTATTGCTATTGTTATTATTGTTGCAATTTTCTTTGTTATATATAAATTTTCCATATCTACAATGGCAGTGTACTGTCTGGGTACAATCTCTTTTAAATACAAGTAATAAACCTTATGCATACAATAACTATAACTATTCTCAAAATCTATCCATCATGATCTTCACTTATTAAACATTTCCCATTATTTAATTAAACACTCTATTCAGCTTTATCTATATACTTGGTTAATAATATCAAACATTACAAACATATGAAATCACATTTATAACCATGATCCTCTAATTCTGTTCATCATCAGGTTTACTTATCCTAATTATTCAATATTTTGTTATTTAGTTACACATTTATTTCATCTTTGTTTCCATAACCTCTTCCGTTCTAAATGTCTACTGTTATTATCCAGATAGAGTCATTGTGATAATCAGGAATTTCTCATTTTGAGGTAGGAGGGAGGTTTTTTTCATTTTTGTTTGAAGAATTAAAATTAAGAGAATTAAACCAGATGAGGCATTAAGCAGGAATTGCACCCGCATATTTGCACTGTAAGAAAATGAACTGTGAGGGAAGAATTTTTTTGACTTCCGTGGTCCTATAATTCCATAATTCTTAAAGATACAGATGTCTTGCAGCCCAGCCTGGCTGTCTTCATGCAATTGTCTTGGCAGTTTTATCAAAGCCATTTGCCAACACTTTAATGAATTGGAGGTTACACAAAGTTCTGCATCCTCTTATTAGAGAACCGTTATCTAAAACAAGACATGGAAACTCCCGGTGTGAACTTGGGCCAGCCAGCCCCATCTGAACAATCTACCTCACAGTCCTGTTGTGGGGATTAAAAAATTAAAGGGGGAGACCCATGGAAGCTGCTTGGGCTTCTGACGGACAGATGGGACAGCAAACTAATAAGTCAACAGCAAATAAATGACTATTAAAAATGCTAATGGAAAGATTCTGGACTGGGACACTCTCCAAAGAGAACCTTGGCTTTGCCCATATTGTAGTGGCTTCAATACCAAGAAAATATTTTTCTTTAAAAAAATAAAACTTATTTTTCAATTTCTCAGGATCTTTAGAATCAAAACACTTGTTCAGTTCTTTGGGGCCATTCACAGGATGTTAGTCTATCGATTCAGTCCTGCTACAGCTCTGTTATGCTCATTTCCTGTCCCGCTGCTAATTCTCAACCTTTTAGCTTTTACGGTTTAATGAATCAGGTTTATATTAACCTCTTTATTAGTTTAAACCTTGCAAAGAACATCTAGCATTGGGCTATATTGTAGACGAATAAATCTGTCAGTAACAAAACCTGATTTGCTTGCGGTTAACATGCTTCTCCTTTTGAGGATCCACTTGTGAATGAATCATTTCACATCCAATTTTGCATTTTCTAGGTACGTTACAGTGCATGGCTATCTATCTATCTATCTATCTATCTATCTATCTATCTATCTATCTAT